AATAATAATAATAATAATAATAATAATAATAATAATAATAATAATAATAATAATAATAAAAATAACAATAATAATAATAATAATAATAATATGAATGACCATAATATCAACCATAATAATAGTAACAAAAATAACGGGTAATAATAAGGAATATTAATAACAACAATGGTAAACGATTAACGAACAGATCTTAGACATTTCCCTTTAAAATAAAAAACAAAATAGAAATTGATTAGACTGCTGATAATAATATACTAACTTCTATCACACCAATGCGACTTTCTAATAGAGACCGGAAAATATTTAAATAATCTTATTGAATCAACTGCTTAATCTGTTAATCATATTTAACATGAAGATGGAAATATTAGCAGTAATAATAATAATAATAATAATAAATGTAGTAATATAATGATAAATAATAATACAATAATAATAACGATGAATAGTACGGTTATAGAAAGTGCTCTATTAAATTGCATCGAATCATGCTGTGGTATGTGAAATAATGAATGTCTGAACGAGATACATACGTTTACGTTCACTGAATATGCTTTACATAAATAACATCCACTTATATACACACTAGAAATAATATCCGGATGACGACATCCTTCGTGTAACAGTCATGCTATGCTACTCACTAGAAAGCGATCACATTAAATGCAACAAACCTTTTTGGCGTTCAAACACGATGAGCAAGTGGCAATACACATTGGCAAAATGAAGATGAGAGTCGCCAAAGCGGCTGCAATTACGAGGAATGCGGCTATTGAAGCCAGTGTCCGCACTCGCATTCCACATCTATAAGTTACATTATTTACATCTGAGTGAAGCAACCAACTAAATGCTCAAGCAGTTTAAAAACAATTAAAAATGTCCTCAGATCGCAAAAGGATACGAACGTTTATCGTGTCGCATTTAGTTCGTACTCAAATGACGTATCGATCCAGAAAGTTTACTTAGTTTCATATAGATGCTGTAAAGCTTAGACGAAAAATGCAGAATGATGAACGATCAAAATAATAAAGGCATCGTTTCTCGAGTGTTAACGATACTTTATTTTCATCCGTCATTCTTGTAATTATCTTAATACAGATCAATACGGTAGCAGTGTAGTCTTAATGAATGTTAACAAAACACTGGCATAATAAAGTGGAATTATTTGTTCGATGATTTCGTAAAAACTGGTAAATTCAATCAATCTTCCAGTAACTGAATTTATTTCAGCACGCTTAGGTGATAAACACGCATCATCTAGTTAAGTTCTTGAATGGGTTCTTAAAAGAATACACGGTATGTTGCTTTTATTTTGAAGTGTTCTTCTAATATTTGCTAATTAAATGAACTGAGTTTATATCATACATATGATTGAGGCGAACAATTTGAGAAGTGGAATACGAACTGAGGTTATCATATAATCTAAATTCGAACCATTTTTTAGGTTTCATGCATTTCATTTTGTTATGCGTTGCGTACGATAGGATGATACACCCACCCAACATCAATAACCTATCCATTCAACAAGCCATCATTCACATATCAATTTATACCTGTTTTGAGATTAGTGTATTGCAAAATTGATGATACAATCAATAAATAAAGACCTATATCCGGACGAGTCATACGAGTGAAAACAACAAATAAAAAACACCAAAATTCAACTTTCGATCTTATTTTTAAATGAAACTCAAATTGGCTCATGCAGACAAACGATACTGACATGAGCGAAAATAGCCCTTCGTTGAACGAGAGTTCCAAACCGAGAGTACAACAGAAAGTTCATGATTGAAGTACCAATAAAATGTTGATCACTTATTGATTTTCGGAGGAGATCAATGGAACTGATAATTATTGAACGTCTGACTTGCTCTTTTCATTTGTTTTGACCATGAAAAATTCCCGAACGATGGATGAAACCTTTATGGAAACGGTTCGAGACGTGACGTGACTTTTGAGTGAATAATGATTTCATGAATAAAAGTACAATATGAATGCAATTTAATGATTTGCTCTTCGTAGCGAATATGAAAATCAATTAATTAATTATGGCACATTTGTTCTTTTGCTATTTGATATTTGATGCATCATTTTTTAAAACATTCTCCGCTACGTTTTCGCCATCACGCTCATGCATTTTCTCATATCCCTCTCCTTTCTCAAATATTCTCTTTGAATTCTCGATAAGGTGTGTTATTATTCACTGTAGTTAGCTGATGCGAGCACAGAAATAAATAACGCCCATCCACACATTAGCAAGCAAAGTGATTCAAAGCATCACTTTTTCCATCTGCTTTCAACAACTGGTCTGTCTGTAAAAATGTTGAGTGGCGCCAATTTCTATTCCTGACGGAATTTTACGTAGAATTAATTCAACAGTGTTTTCAAAGAGAAAATGAATTATGTGACAATGATTATATGAAATAATAATATTATCTCAACTGTAAACGCATAAATGACGGTGTTAAATTCGTAAAGCATTCCTTCCAAACAGCATCGACAAAACGAGTATTCGTCCTACAGAACTTATAGACTGGTTTTGAGATGAGTTTAATGGATCAATCATATTTAACGCATTCTTCTTCCTTTTTTCATTCTCTGACATACATGCACACATATACACACACACATTTCATTATTGAAGATCAATTATTATTATTGTTATCATTATTACGCTTTTTTGCAATTTAAAATCACCTTTCTTAATTATAGCACTACCAATCATTGTATCTTCTAATAAGTAATTCATAAAGATAACGACTGGGATGGCATATTTTTGTGAATAGTACATATCTAATGCAACGATAATCCTATAACTTTGTGACAGAATTGAGTGATCACATAAAATACAGAATTCTGAAGAAAATATAGAAAATTATTTGAATATTTGGTTAAGTAGGTGTTGGTAGTTTTATTTAGAAAATACATGCACGTGAATTCACTAATCGATTCTAATTTACTCATCTACAGAATGAACACTTTCAAAAAGTGAGAGACGACCGCTAATTGAGAAGCTTTTCTGCATGATTATTCATGGATAACAAAACTAAAAAAGAAAAAAGTATACAAGAATGAATGTCAAACGAACAAACGGCCCATTAAACAACTCGATTAATTTTTTTTAATAGTTTCTGCAGTGAAAGTTCAGTGTTAAAATCCATGAAAGTTGCATATTCTGGGTTTCCGCTAATACAACATTGAAGGCGTTTTGGTTTATTGTTATTTTATGCTCGCACTACAACATTTGCTTTTAAGCCACTACTTGTTCGTATCCATTTCATCTCAAACCCACATTCACTCTATTATATATA